CTAACCTGGGGAAGAGTATCAAATCTACTTAGGGTCGGTACATCTAAAAATCAAGATGGCCGCCATTAACGGTAAGACGCGCTCGATCTCGACGATCACACGGAAAAATAGGGACTGTGAACAGTCTAATTTCGCTCAGTAGTAATTAAAAGAAAAAAAACTTCCAAAAATTTATCAAACATCGACTGTGCGAACAATGTCCTAAGAGAGGCATGTTTAGAGATTGCAAACAAACCCTCGGCGAACCACTAAAATGACAACAACGAATGCTAAGCCATAAGTGACAAAATATCAAAGGTACAAAATTATAATTCAAATCCACAAATTCACCATCAAGATCGATACAATTAGCATCAACTTGCTTTTTGAATGTGTCAAGATTGTAGAATTTAATTTTAATTCCCACGAGTTTCTTGTCATGTATCAAGACGTACGTTTTTGAAATAAAGAAGAGAGACGACAGTTTGTGATCAGCTCTGTTTCCGAGAGGGACTGAAAACGAGAACACAGGTTGGAGCTTCTGATCGTTTCTATATTTCAAATGCAAGTGAAGTTTTCGAAGGTTTGCTCTCCCTTTTGCAGCACTGCGGGGACTGTGTCAAAGAAAATACCGATGGGGGACACGAAGAATTTCTTGCAAGACGTCAAGAGGAATATCAACGCCCTTTGTGTGATTTGTGGGTGATGTATGGTCGAGTTACGGAGTCGGCCCATGAGAATCAGCTTACTCAGGATTTGGAGCTATTGATGCAGGTAATGAACTCCAGATTACAATCACTTGCAAAACTAAACAGTGACTTTCATTATCAAGGCAATACAGAAGAGTCGAGTACTCATGAAGTACTACTACGCAGAATTCACAGTTATTTACTCTCGAAAGGTCAGGTAATGCTGAAAACCCTGCTCACAGGGCCGGGTACGTAAACGGCAGGACTTTTCCGCGGGTAGCGGGTGACGGGTGACGGGTGGCGGGTTACGGGTAGTGGGTGGCGGGTGAGGGGTAGCGGGTGAAACGTTAGGGTTAGGGTTCAACGTATCTCTTTTTTCATTTTTTATGGCCTGACCCACCACCCGCCACCCGCTACCCGTCACCCGCTACCCGCCACCCGTCACCCGCCATCCGCCACCCGCCACCCGCCACCCGTCATCCGTCACCCGTCATCCGCGGAAAAGTCCTGCCGGGTACGTAAATGCTGAAAGGCCTAGATATGAAATTAGGCAAGAGCAAATCCATGAACTAAGAGAGGCATTGGGGTTTCGTTGGGTAGATATTGCAAGGATGCTAGGAATGTCTCCTAGGACACGTAGTCGGCAGAGGCAAGAATTTGGTATGCCACTCGGTCAACAGCATAAATTTTGGAGCAGCTACAGAATACAGGGCCATATTTTCAGGTCTTAAACAGAAGTGGCTCGGTGGCTCGCTAGTCACGACAAGTGTTTAAAGAACGAGAAGGATATAAGACCTATAAGTATAAGACAGACATAGAAGGCATATACTTTAGTATGTATTATAGCAGATTATAGGTATATATTTTAGTGGCTCGGCGGCTCGGTGGCTCTTCAGTCGAGGTTATATAGTTCAGTGGCTCGACGGCTCGGTGGCTCGTTAGTCGGGACTACCGAGCCACCGAGCCACCCCAACGAATATACCTAGAAAATTTGCCCTGTATTCTGTAGTTAAGCCTAAATTTTCCTCCTGGTTTGACACCTGGACAATATTGTGAGAAGCATTCTTTCAGTTACTCCACTGTGAATTCTGCAGTAGTCCTGGGCCGACTCCGTAACTCGACCATACATCACCCGCAAAGTGCGTTGATATTCGTCTAGACGCCTTGCAAGAAATTCTGCATGCCCCCCATCGGTGTTTTCGTTCACACAGTCCCCGCACTGCTGCAAAAGGGAGATCAAACCTTCGAAAAATTGATTTACTTCGATTAGAAGCCATCTTGAATTCCAACTTGTGTTCTCGTTTTCAGTCCCTCTCGGAAACAAAACTGATCAAAAACTGTCGTCTCTCTTCTTGATTTAAAAAAAAAATACATCTTGATTTACAAAACGTATCTCTTGATACATGACAAGAAACACGTGGGAATTGAAATTAAATTCTACAATCTTGACACATTCAAAAAGTAAGTTGATGCTAATTGTATCGATCTTGAAAGTGAATTTGTAATTTGAATTATAAAGTTGCATCTTTGATATTTTGTAAATTTTGTGGCATAGTCACAAGGCATTTGACTGAAGTAGCCTAAATCTGACGTACTGAGGCCATTGCGTCACAAGACTATATAAGCTGCATTCAGCAAAATTAAGAACAGTTTTCAACTGATTTTTAGAAGGATGAAACAAAGTTTTGATTATAAAACAATTATACATAGTCTATAGACGGCTGGTGCCATTTTTATTTTGTTGCAGTATGAATCAACAGAATCCTGTTCCTCCAACAAGGGTTTATCCCACATGCAATCAGCGACGAATAGTTATAATTTTCTTCACGATGATGTTTTTGCTCGTTGGTTTTGTCTTGACCTCTGTTGGCGTTTGGGCGAAACCTTTCTGGGGCCCTGAAGATGACCCACGATGCAGCTTTTGTAAAGAGGAAAGGATTGCGATGGAGCAAAGGCTAAAGAATTGTCGCATCGCTGGACCGATTTTCTTAGCAATCGTCGTTTTTTTGTGGATGACTACCATTGTAGTGTATACTCGCACCCCGAGAAAGGACCAGATGTTGGACAAGTTATAACCATACCGATAAAGATCTGTAATTTGTTGCCGCGGCCCTAACTGAAATACACCATGGTGCTGGTTAATCATAATCACTCCGTCTTCATTTAGTAATACTATATTAGCCTCTGAAAGAGTCGTGTTGGAGCCCGGGGTTGGAGCTCATTCGATACTCTTACTTAATGAGAACTGTATCGAGAGACAATTTAAAACTGTAAAGAGTCAGTATATCAACATTGTTAAGAACACAGCTACCTTGAAGATCTGAATGAAAGTGATCTTTGAGCTAACTTATCTATTCAACATGAATGGATATTAAAATAGTGACCCCGCGCACGTGACTGAAATCAACGTAAGGCAACGTGGACTAACCTCTAGTGAAAACGATTTATTTAGTTGAGCGAAAACGAATGTATAGTTCATGAAATTGTTAACATTTTCCACAAATGCCACAATTCGATTTTTATTTTACATTACTTTATTGCAACATCGAAGGAATCGGCCCCTGACATCATGCACAGCCATAAAAAAAAAAAAAAACAAATAAGTGAAGGAAAAACACAGTTAAACCCTGATTATGTAAATTCCGCAGAAATCTTTATGTATTGTTCTCTCTCCCGGTACTGAAGTTGTAGTAGTTGACGTGCCGAAGAACATTGTGCATAATGAAGTTCCGAAAACTGTTATTCCTCCTTTTGTACAACTACATAAGAAATTTTTAGCAATTTGATTGGCTTAGAGCAGTGGTATTTCAGCTTAATTTGAAATACATGTGAAAATTACAAACCTTTTGAGCGTAGTAGTATAGACAAATAATAGCAAGATTTGTACGTGATATTTGGCATAAATACCACTTGTGATATATGCACTTATATGTAAAAGAGTTCCTCATAAAATTAAGATTAAATTTGGGAACGCAATGATTAACACCATTTCCTCTTAAACTGTAAGACGATCTCTTATGACGATCTCTTATGATCTCTTATGATAAAAAAGTCTGTAATGTATTTCGGCCCTATATTCCTAATGCATTTAAATAATAGGATCAGAGATTGCTGCTTTTTCCTACACTCTAAAGTGTCCAACTTACATATATTCAAGAGTTAAAAAAGAAAATATTGAATATAATTATTTATCGGCTGTTTAGGGTCAAAAAATTTCCCTTGTTGAAGTTTTATTTCCTTTTTCCTTTGAATGGGAAGGACCTCAAAACAAGTTCAAACCAAAAGAAAACAAGATGCTCTGACACAGACTTTATGCAGACAGGGAACCTTTTCTCTTTTTTTGAATGCTTCAGTGGTGCGGAAATAGAGAACAAAAGTGTTTTTGAGCGACGCGCGACAACCGGAAGTGGAAGTACCTTTTTTTCCTTTCAATATACCTCCACGCTGACAAATTTTACTAAGTGTCTTTACTCTCATCATGAGAGACGATTTCCTTGAAAATTTGGGCAAAACCACTGCCCAAGAATAAAACAGTCTCCGCTTCCGGTTGAGTGGAATGCTCAAACACTCGGTTTTGTTCCAGGCTTTGCTTCAGCTCCCCATTGTGGCCTAAACAGAACCAGAGTTAAGATAGAATTCTAGCAAAAGAATCAAACCGAATTTCATTTTGAGGCGCGCTGGACAACCCGCAGTGGGTGATGGGTGGCTGGAAGGAGGGGGGTGGTCATCTTGTTTTGAAAAGGAAAACCACCGAAGAGGAATGACGTAGCTGCGTCATAGCAAGTCATAGCATAGAAAGCTTTATTAAGTAGCCTTAAGCCGACTAGAACAAGTTTTTAACTAGATATGATTAATACGACTTAAACCGTTTGTTGTAGCGAGATGAATCGACAGAATCGTGTTTTCCCAGGAGTTGGTTTTGACCAAAGATACAATAGACAGTCAGGACTATGTAGCGGCCCCGATTTTTGCAAGAAATTTGCTCTCCGATCTCTTCCCTTCACCATTATGCTTTTGCTCGTTGGTTTTATCTTTACCATGGTTGCAAATTCTGAGAAATCTTTCTTGGGCCCTGAAGATGACTGGTGTTGTAAGGAAGAGAGGCTTAAGTCGGAGCGAAATATAAAGAATCGTCAAATCATTGGGCAAATTATCTTGGCGATCAGCGGTTTATCTTTAATTATTACCATAGCGTACATCCAGAGAAAGAACAATGCCGGACAAGGTATAACCAGACCGAACACTGGTCAAGCAGCGGGTTCAACAACTCAGGAAGGATCGGGCAATGTGACGACCACCACTCAATATCCAAGCCCCTATGGCTTTGAACAGCCCGCGTATGGGCAAACACCCGAGTATCCCTCGAGATCAGGACCTTATACTTCAACACCCGCTGAATATTCGTCTTTTCCGACGGGTCCAGCTTATCCTCCATCGACTCAGTACCCCTATAATTCTTCACAGAGTGGTCCACAGGCACTATCTCCAACAGAGATAAATCCACCCCCATCGTATGAAAGTATTGTTGGCCAAAGTAACTCTGCTTCAAGTGCTCCCCCAGAGACGCAAGTTTATTAATTAAAAAGAGATGAAATAATGAACCGTCAGATTTTACCGCTTGTTTTCCTTACGTTGTAGTGATAAATATAGATATTTAGATTTCAAATGATGTTGTCATTGTCTCTAGTTGCGACAATCCCGAAAGGTAAAATGGGATATGATCAATGCACGGTCCCTGACACTATAGTTAGCTGTCGAACCTAACTTTTGTTGCTTTCATTTATCATTCGCAAACGTACTTCCATGGCCTCTCGTGCCATTCTTTCAAATTTCTCTGAAGAATAGTGAACCCAAAAACTATCCACAATTATAATTGATATTTGGAATAAAGACCACTTGTGATGATGTTTCAAAATTGTCTGAAATTTCACTCGCCTAACGGCTCTTGAAATTACGTATAACAATTTTGAAATACCACTCGTGGTATTTATGCCAAATATCACTACAAATCATGCTATTACCTATACCAATTTTATCCGCACCATAAGATCGGGAGACATGTACTTGAGCTAGAAAATGGATCAGTTCCGGTGTTAGCAGGAAATGAAAGATCGGCTGCTAATCTGTTTACCGCAAAAAGAAAAGGCATTTCAAGCATTGCCATTTAGCTGCTTCTGAAAGTTCACATGCTGCAAATTTAATGAAATACAAATCTCTCCAAAAGAGGACATTAAAGTTACTTCTCTGTTTTCAATTATTAAGGCAAAATACCAGATACAGCAATACAGTACCGAGAAAGAAAAAATTGAATATAATTATTTATCGGTTGTTTCGGGTCAAAAAATTTCCCTTGTTTGAAGTTTTATTTCCGTTTCCCAGGGAATGGCAAGGACCTCAAAACAAGTTCAAATCAAAGGTAAACAACAACAACAACAAAAAAACACCACAGAACAAGTATTTTGTTAAGATGCTCTGACACAGACTTTATGCAGACAAGGAACCATTTTTTTTTAATGCTTCAGTGGGGCGGAAATAGGGAGCAAAAGTGGTTTTGAGCGACGCGCGACAACCGGAAGTGGAAATACCTTTTTTTCCTTTCTCGGTACCTCCACGCTAGCAAATCTGTCTTTACTAAGTGTCTTTACTCTCATCATGTGACACGATTTGCCTGAAAATTTGGGCAAAACCGCTGCCCAAGAATAAAACAGTCTCCGCTTCCGGTTGGGTGCATCGCTCAAATATTCGACTTTGTTCCAGGCTTTGCTTCAGCTCCCTTTTGTGGCCTAAACGGAACCAGAAAGAATTTCATTTTGAGGCGCGCGGGACAACCTGCAGTTGGTTATTGGTGGCTGGAGGTAGTCAGCTTGTTTTGAAAAGGAAAACCACCGAAGAGCAATGACGTAGTTGCGTCATAGCAAGTCATAGCATAGAAAGCTTTATTAAGTAACCTTAAGCCGACTAGAGCACGTTTTTTACTAGAAGTGATTATTACGACTTGCACCGTTTGTTGTAGCAATATGAATCGACGGAATCGTGCTTTCCCAGGATTTGTGTTTGACCAAAGATACAACAGACCGTCAGGACTATGTAGCGGCCCCGATTTCTGCAAGAAATTTGCTCTCCGATCTCTTCCCTTCACCATTTTTCTTTTGATCGGTGCTTTTATGTTCACCATGGTTTTCAATTCTCAGGAATCTGGCTCGAGCCCTGAAAGTGAGAATCGACGAATGATTTGCCAAATTATCTTGGCGATCATCGGTTTCATCAATTTATGTTTAATTGTTACCACAGCGTACATTTGCATCCAGAGAAAGAACAATGCCAGACAAGGTATAACCAGACCGAACACTGGTCAAGCAGCGGGTTCAACAACTCAAGGAGGATCGGGCAATGTGATGACCACCACTCAATATCCTAGCCCCTATGGCTTTGAACAGCCCGCGTATGGACAAACACCCGAGTATCCCTCGGGATCAGGACCTTATACTTCAACACCCGCTGCATATTCGTCTTTTCCGACGGGTCATGCTTATCCTCCATCGACTCAGTACCCCTATAATTCTTCACAGAGTGGTCCACAGTCACTATCTCCAACAGAGCTGCCTCCACCCCCATCGTATAAAAGTATTGTTGGCCAAAGTAACTCTGCTCCAAGTGCTCCCCCAGAGACGCAAGTTTGTTAAAAAGAGATGAAAGAATGAACGGTCAGATTTTACCGTTTTTTTCCTTACGTTGTAGTGATAAATATAGATATTTAGATTTCAAATGATGTTGTCATTGTCTCTAGCTGTATACGGCTATCTCGAGAAAGGTTGTTGGAAAAAATGAGCATAATCAATGCACGGCCCTGGCACTATAGCTAGCTGTCGAACCTACTTTTGTTCAAGGGCACCCAACGTCAATTTTCCGAAAATATCTGTTCGATCGGAAGACGATTTGAGATCTAGAATTTTCGGAACATTTTTTGTATAATTTCTTCCTTGCCTACATCTCCTAGGATTTTCAAACATCTAAAAAATGGTATAATTGCCCATTTTTAATGGATTTTTACCCTAAAAAGGTCACCTAGAATTTTCGGGAGTCCTTTTTCTGGCTGAAACTTTCGAAAAGGTAAGTTTTGATCCCTATAATTTGCGGATCACTATACCTTCTGCTAGGAAATCCGAACAGACGAAAAATTTTTAGGGGATAAAAATATGCCTATATCCACCGTTTAAATTCTAAAGTACGTTTAACAATGCTATTTTAAGTGGTTTTGAACTATAATCTCGTTGGGTGCCCCTGTTTTGTTGCTTTAATTTACCACTCGCAAACGTACATCCATGGCCTCTCGTGCCATTTTTTCTAATTTCTCTGAAGAACAGTGAACTAAAAAACCATCCACAATTATACCTTTCGGGATTGTCAAGTACCCTTTTCCCGAAAGCGTTTCTCGAAATAGCTGTATATGCATAAACCCGGCCGTCTGATGGCCTAGTACGTATCAATGAAGATCTCAGCGTGATCGTGAGTTGTTGCACGAAAGTGAAAACGAGGGCCAAAAAAAAATTGAAGGGCAAAGGGAGGGGAGGAAGGTGACACTCCTCGCTCTTGATAAAGTCGTCATAGACAGTAACACCGGATTGCAGCGATTGAGCGGTCACTGTTTACTTTAAGATACAACCCATACCTCTATGTGCTAATGTGGAGGACGGATATGATTTCAGGCCATAGTGCTTATTCGAGGCGCTTATTAACTTTTTCTGCCGTTAGGTTGGGCGCTTACTCGGATAAAAATATGGTATGTGGAGGGCCTTAAATAATATAACATACTTTGTCTTAAGATACCAGACCACATTTCCTATTGGAAGGGTAATTATAAAATCACCCGTCTGTGAAGTTCATTCAACCCTCCGAATTAGGAAACACTTACAAGTTTAGTTTAGTTTCTTTGCTAGAACAATTAATTAGGACTGGAATAAATGGCTTCAAACGAGCCGTGAGTAATTTAGTCATCTTATTTGTTATAACAAGAGTATAGATGATGGTTTGTAGTATCATTTATAACTATTTAATTTATATATGATATATTTATAAGTAACTCGACTATTTAAATGGTATCACGCGTATTATTTAAATACTGATGCAGTTTTTCGTTGCTTTTCATTATTTCAAGACTGTAAGCTCCTGCTGACCATATTTTTGTAATGGGAAACGTTATAGATTTAAGTTGTAGATGTATAGATTTAGAAAATGAATTGGGACGAGAGCGATTTCTTTTTCATTTAAAATATCCTGCGAGAACATCAGTTTCTCCTCGCTCCTCGCCGCTGGGGACGTTTCACGTTTCACGAGGAGGTTTCTCCGCGCGAAACGTCCCAAGTGGCGAACGGCGAGGAGAAACGGATGTTTTCGCAGGCTACATTCAAAACAAATCTACATGAAATTGTTCAACATTCATTTTCCATTGTTTTATTTCAACATCATAAGGAATCGGCTCCGGATGATCATGCACCGCCATAAAAAAAAAGAAAAGAAAAAGAAAAAGAAACACAGAGGAAGTAAAAATTGAACCACACCGTATACCGCAGAACTCTTAATGAATTCTCTCTCCCGGCACTGAAAAGAAGTTGAAGTGCAGAATTGCATTGCGCATGATGAAATTCCTCAAACTTATTCCTCCTTACCACAAGAGAGCGGACCTGTATTTGTGGTAGAAGATGGATTTTCCGCCGGGTGTTATCAGTAAATTGAAATATTCCTGCGGTAATATAACCAACCTCTATATAAAAAAGTCATGAACTGTACCTTATCAATCACATTATTGTATAATTATTTACTTATCCATCATGCTATCTATTTTTCTCATTTTTAGTTTATCATTACCCCCGGGGGGACACTGCCATATATGGGCTATAGAGGTATGTGCCGCTTTGAAGGGTATGGTTTTCAAGCAGTTTACTCTAGGATAGGGTATATAAATCAGAGCTTTTGGGTCTAAAATAGGGTATCATTTTTCAGGAAACTGATCAGTTGGTTGAAGGTTTTATCTAGACTAGGGAAACAGCTACTCTAGGATAGGGGGGAATTGGGGAGTTTACTCTAGTATAGGGTAGCAAAATTCAGCTGAACTAGCTCTGGTAAAGGTTAAGGGTTCCCGGGTTCCAGCGGCACATCCCCACCCTGAAATTCCTAAAGTACCCCCCCCCGGCATTAACCTCTCATGTAAATTTAAATTCAAATTTTAGGAGCCCTATCGCCAGCCTTGAATTCAGTTTTGTTTTAATTCCCACTTCAAATGACGCGTGGCATTAGCCTGTCTACATAGAGATCCGACAAGAAAGAACCAGTCGGTTTTATTTACGCGTTGAGTGGACCTCTGCATTCAAGGGTCTTTTAAAGTCCTTAGTACGGTCGGTATAACGAACGATTTTCTTTACCCTGGCCAGTAATAGTAAAATATATGAAAAATGACCTCGATATAACGAAACCACCTTATAGCGAACAAATTTTGCCAGTCCCTTGCACTTATGTCCAGAAATGCATGCAATGGCGAAAATGGCGAAACTGGCGAAAAATCGCCAGCCGCTGGCGATTTGAATTGGATGCCAAAAGTGGCCCCTTGGAGGCTGGCGATTTTGGCGATTTTGGCAAAAATTGCCATGCATGCAATGGCGAAAATGGCGAAAAATCACCAGGCTGGCGATTTTGGCGAAAATGGTGATTTTGGCGAAATTGGCAATTTTGGCAAAAATCGCCATGCATGCAATGGTGAAAATGGCGAAACTGGCGAAAAATCACCAGCCTCTGGCGATTTGAATTGGATGCCAAAAGTGGCCCCTTGGAGGCTGGCGATTTTGGCGAAAATGGCGATTTTGGCGAAATTGGCAATTTTGGCAAAAATCGCCATGCATGCAATGGTGAAAATGGTGAAACTGGCGAAAAATCACCAGCCTCTGGCGATTTGAATTGGATGCCAAAAGTGGCCCCTTGGAGGCTGGCGATTTTGGCGAAAATGGCGATTTTGGCGAAATTGACAATTTTGGCAAAAATCGCCAGAGGGCTGGCGATATGTGGCAAAATATTCAAATTGGATGCCAAAAGTGGCCCCTTCAAAGTAGATAACTAAAGAGGTCCTTATAACTGTGAGGCAACAGTACTAAAAAAAGTTCAAATTACTTGCCTAATAAGAGGCCCCAATAACTGTGAGGCAACATTTATCAAATACAACTGAATCAAATATATGACAAAACAGCTTTACCTAACTGTCAAACAACATTATTTTATCAAATACAACTGAATCAAATATATCTGAAAACAACAAATGCAAGTCGTTTCAGTTAAGCTAATATGTATTTGTGCCATGTACTTCACAGGTTAAGTACACATTTCCTTACTTTCGATGTCGCTTGACTTACCAAAAGTGATGTGATGCGCTGAAATATCACACTAGCATCATTTGCTTTTGTATGGTTCATTCCTTTCAAAGACTTACAAGTCCCCTAATTACTCGAGGAGAGAACTACCAAGTCCTTGAAATCATAATAATTCCTTGCCATGGACACTCTAACTTTTGAGGTTCGATGTAGACCTTAACAATCCTCACTGGTTACAATTCTCTTCACATTGGTTCCATTAAATTGTGAGGCAGCCTTAAATCAAAAGCGATTGCGAAACGCATGGTTCCTGGCTAAAAGATGCTTTCACGATAACCAGCTAGTGTGTGCCCTTCATTCTTTTTTGGTTCTCCACTATACACATTATCTTCTTCCGTCGTTTTAAACTCTTCACTTTCTTCTCACACTTACTTGCTTTGCTCTTTAGAGAAACGGTCCCCTAAAAGTAACGAAAGCCGAAATGTCCAGCAGCTTGCGTGCGCCATTTTGAAATGTCTGATTTCGCTTATTTCCACTTTATGTAAACCTGCACGAAATGTCACTTGTGCCCAATACTTCAGCGCATTTATTGAACATAAACATTAGATCAAAGCAATAACTTGTTTGTCTCTTTCATGAAACATATCCCATTCAAACTAATTCTGTATCTTTTCATCAACTAGATATATAAAAAGAGAGTGTACATGTTTGTCTCGTTCTTCAAAAATGTGTCCCATTATTGCTTTATGAGGTGGGGCCAGAAATTTAGAAAATGTATTGTTTTTTTGCGCTGAGACCACCAAACCAATTCTCAGTACAATATGTTTCCATTAAATTGCTAATGCTAATGCTCGTCGAAACTCGTCACCCGGCCTTTTTACCTTCTATTTTAACAATTGCCTGAGAGTCCCTGTGAACGACATTAATCGTTTTGCTTACATAGAGGAGCTATAAACATAGAGTGACCACCAAAGTCGGCTGGGAATGACACTAATCGTTTCTACTTACATAGAGTAGTTATCCAAAATCGACTATTTCAACATGGTCGCCGCGTCTGTATAACAACTACTAAACCTTATACGTTCATGTTCTGTGAAACTGCAATGAACCAGCTCGTTTATATATACTTGTACCATTGAACGCCATTATAACAAACAGGATGGATATACAAGGCAATACGGACCATCTAATGATCTGAATGCGTAGCCAAGAACCAACCTGGATTCCTCATAACATATAACGTTGAACTGTCGCTATTCAAACAATGCCTACAAGCCTGGAAAATTAAGGATACCTATCTTGGATTTTTTGGTAAGAAAGTTGCCATG